TTAAAGTAATGTTTCCCCATTGTGAATTTAAACAAAGAAGACAAACAATAGACTGCACAAATTTATTGCCTCACATATTTCATTGTATCTTTTCAGGTGTTATTGTAGTATGCACCTGATGAGATAGAGTGAAATATGTGAGGCAATAAATTGTGCAATCTATTGTTTGTGTCTTCTTTGTATGAATTATTAATTGTTTATGGTGAGGAAGAATGATGAGAATATCATGCACACATGAACTACTTAATGAATGTTTCTTGAAAGAAAGTAACCCACACAGAAAACTGGTTACTGGAGGCAGAAAATGACAATATTCTTTGAGTATGCTACTCCCTGTGTGTGTTCTGAGGCTCCCATTGTGGGGAAAATAAGAATAGAACCACTGCTTCCCTAACAAGCATGTCGTAAAAGGCAACTAACTAATTAGGGTTGTTTCAAAGTCAGAGTGCATTTGTCTGATAGGTAAGGAACCAACAGTCTGCATACAAGTAAGAAAGATCTGTAAAAGGGATGTACATGCAAAACTCAAATAATGGAATAAGACCACAAACCCAGAAGTGGACGAGCAATCAGAACTTTCTGTTGGAGTTTACAGCTGGTGAATAATATAATAATGAGAAGGGAAAACAGAAGTAGGCTGAGATGATTGGAAAGTTGAAGGGAAAGAGAGGCAGGAGAATACCAAAAGGAAGAAGGTCAGACCATTTGCCATCCTGACATGTATCATCAGAAATTCCTTTTCTGCTGCATTCACCCTTAAAAGGGTCATTAGCACATTTGGTTGTGGATTATAGCTAGGCTTGATATTTATGCCTTATGGCCCAAAAATGTCATTTCAACTAAGGACTGTCCTAGAATAAATAAAAACATAAAATGTCAGCAAGTGAGAGGAGATGTATCAGAAAAACCAGAGAGAAAAACGCACAGAGACAGAGTCACCAATGAAGAACTCAGAACAATGGTAGGCATATTACCAGTAAATGATTTAATAGAACATTGAAGAATCAAATGGTTTGGTCACCTGGTCAGCATGGAACAAAATCAGCCAGCAGCTAGAGGGTACTACATGAGAACAGCAGGGTACAAGGCACGAAGCCAACCAAGAAAGATGTGGATGGACAGAGTAAAAGCGAAACTACAGTAACGCAGTATGACATTAACACAGCTACACAACTAGCAAAATACAGGAAACCACATCTAATTGCTCACTGTGATGATTTACATCCTAAGAAGGAAAAAGATTCAAATTTTACCAAACTCCTTATTATCGCTTGTTAAGATATGCTTAAAGAGACAAACACTGTTCTTTGGCCACATAATGAAAAGAGAGACATTGGAGAACATCATGACAACTGGAAAGATCAGTGGGAAAAGGGGTAGAGGCAGATCAAGAGAGATGATGCTGGATGGGCTCAAATATCTGCATGGAGGAATATCATCAAGAGAGCTGTTCCAGGCAACCAGTGATCGTGATCTGTGGAGACGCATGAGCGCCTATGCCAGTTGGCAGGGCACATGATGATGATGCTTGTTGGGGGCAGTGGATCTATTCATATTTTCCTTCTAAAAGAGAATTTTGGAACATACAGGCAGGATTGGCTGAAAAGGAAACTGCAGGTTGTGAACGACACATGTTGACCAATGCTACTCGACATGTACTTTAAAACAACTGTTACAATGTACATATTCCTGTTGCGTGAAATGTACTTATGTTGTTTAACTATAAACGGTCACAGGGTAACCAAAATCTTCAATAGATGATTACACTATGGTGATAATGATGCAGCTGCGGCGTCCGTGGCTAAGGCGTTGCGAGTCCGACTCATAATCCAACGTACTGCGATCGAAACCCACTGCGGGCTGCGTGGATTTTTATCGTGGTATGGGACGTCGCAGGTCGACCCAGCCTCAAATGGGTACTCGGATGGCTGTCCTGGGGAAGTAAAGACGGCCGGCGTAATGCTGACCACATTACCCACCGAGTGCCGATTGGTCTGTAAAAAATATGGGACACTCTGCCCATATGCCCGATGCACCGAAAGGTGTGAAAAGGGATCTTTACTTTACTTTACTTATAATGATGCAGCAGGGAGTGACCGGTTGATGTGGCTGACACTCTACACTCAGAGGAAAGGCAACATGGATATGTAATCAAACTGCTACTGGTACCATTAACATTGGAACTCTTCACTGGCTGCTGAAAAGGGGGACTACGTACTTCTGGGAATGTCCAAGCACTGTGATATAGGTTCTTAGCTGAACTAAATGCAGAATATGTCGCCACACAAGGTCCAAAAAGATATGTGTATGCTCATGTTCAGTCGCAAGCAAATTGTTTCCGTACCTTACTTAGCATGTGTCTATGTTTTATAGTAACTCATTCTTATAGCCCACTTACGGAATTTTGTTTCATATATTTATGTTGGCAATATTTGATTGAGTCAATGTTGTGTCATTGTATCCTTGCTGTGAATGTTTTAAAGTTTCTTAGATTTTTTTCTCAGTAGTTTGTGAGTTGTTTTTATTGTATCAGTTACAGATTCTGATTTTGAGCTGACTGACTGACTTTCTACCCCACCAGGACATCACACAAGCGATAAACACCAGATGACACAATTTGTCACCATGTGGGTGAGGATCACCGTGGAGAGGTCCCAGAAACTGCGTTCAGCCTTTAGGCTATATTTATAGCCAGGATATATTGCGGCCCCTGGCAAGAGCCAGAGTAGGGCTTCAAATAACGAAAAATTTCATCCTAAACAGGACAGGAAGAATTGATATTTCGAGCTAGCTGAGGCTTCTGATGACTGGAGGTAGTGATGCTGATTTGCTATGGTGAACTATATCAATGAACATGCTGCAGAAAGACACAAAAAACCTCTCTGAATGGGCAGGAGAATTTTATAGTTACAACTGCCTTCTCTCACCTGGATCTAGACACTTGAATATGCTGAAGTAAAAGGTAATGAGTTAGCAGACCAAATGGCAAGAAATGCAGAGCAGATGTCATCAACACTAGGTTGGTGGATAATGACAAGTCTCTGATGCTAATATGATTATGTGACCTCAGAGGCAAGTATAGGGAATCATGTCCCTGTCATTTTCGGAGTCAAAAATTTGAGACAAGATAACTAGCTTCTCATGGGAATAGTCTGTAGAGTTACCTAGAGTTAGTTGCTGCTTAAGATGATGGGACATGCATGTGATAACATAATGCAGTGTAGAGAAGTTTAAGATAACTATAAAGGGGAGACTACTATGAAAAGGGAGACAATAATGACATAAAGACTACCAAAATTGCTTCACCTTTCCACAGAGGTTGGACTGCTCTGGCTCTTCCCAGGGACCGCAATATAGCCCAACCATAAATATGGTGGAATGGCTGAACATGGTTTCTGGGACCTCTTCACGGGTGATCCTCATCCACATGGTGGCACTTTGTGTCATCGGGTGTTTATCTCTTGTGTGATGTTCTAGTTGGGTAAAATGTACATTTCCACCAATGTGTTATCATCCTTCCCCTTCTAGTATACAATTTTTAGCTTTTCTTGAAGCTCCCCCTCCCCCCCCCCCCCCCCAACCCCCAGACGGGGGCCCTTAATATAGCTAGGCCTGAAATATGGCCAAACGGATGAATGGGGTTTCCAAGACCTCTCCAAGGATGATCCTCATCCGCATGGTGGCACTTTGAGCCACCGGGTGTTTATTGCTTGTGTGATGTCCTTGTGGGGTACAACAAGAGAGAGAGAGAGAGAATCCCAAGTTATTGCCACCAAGTCGAGTCCCAGGTAAAGTCTCAAGTCACCAACAATGTTTCTAAGTCAAGTTTCGAGATAAGTCACTTCATGTATCAAAAGTTATTTGCAAGTCATGCATGGGACAGTGCTATGTAACAGTAATGAAAATACCAAACCTGAAATGGCAATGCAAAAATTACAGGTAACTGTATATACAAGTGTGAAAAAGTCAAATGTTATAGCCCGGTAAAATCGAAAAAGAATGCCATGTTGTATATGAAGATGTTTTCAGCTGTGAAGTTGATAAACAAACATCACAGTGGCTATCCGCAAAAAACGAGTCATACCAAGTCATCTTTACCCCTGTAGGTTTTCGGGCCCTATTGTGGGGAAAACAAGAATAGACCCACTGCCTCCCCAAGAGCATTTTTGGGGGGATGTTGTGAGAAGAGGATGACTGGAGTGGGTTCAGGTTCTAATGACTTCTTTCAAAAAGGGACCTTGGCTCGCAGGTTGACTAGTCTGAAATGGGTACCAGGAAAGGTCCTGGAAAGTAAAGGCAACCGGCGTGATGTTGACCACATCACCCACTGAGAGCGGATTGGTCTGTAAAATATAGGTCTGTCACAGTATGCCCAATACGCCTGAAGATGTGCTAAAGCAGCGGTTCTCAACCTGTGAGTTGCGACCCCCTTTGGGGGTTGAACGACCCTTTCACATCGGTCGCCTAAGACAATCGGTAAGCACATATTCACTGAAGTTAGGAAGTAGCAACGAAGATAATTGTATGGCTGGGGGTCGCCACAACATAAGGAACTGTATTAAAGGGTCGCGGCATTAGGAAGGTTGAGAGATAACCAGCTCCAGCTGACGGGCCATGCTGCTGACGTCACCGGGTCGGGCTAACGATGCGTTAACGAAGCGGTTCTCAAACAAGAAATAAACTATCTTCGACAGTGGCGAGGGATGACAACTTAAATTTTAACTTTTAAGTATCTACAAGCCTCCTTTAATAATTTTACAATTTTTAGTCGAATTTTCTTAATTACTGCCGTGGCACCTCTGGCATACGCTCACGGCACCCCAGGGTGCCTCGGCACCCAGTTTGATAACTGCTGCGTTAACGCATTGTTAGCCCAACATAGTGACGTCAGCAGCACAACCCGTCAGCTGGAACTGGTCGTGGTTGAGAGCCACTGTGCTAAAGGCATCCTTTACGTACAGCATCTCGTATTCCTAGCTCAGTCTCCATAAACTAAACCTTTAATCAAGCTCCTCATACATTGGTATAAAGCGGTCAATGTTCGCCCGACACACGGGACACCTTTTAGGCCAAGGCAGGGCCTCGGCACAAGAAACACACATGTTGAAATGTCTGCAGGGCAGCGAGATTACCTGGCTTACATTGTTCAAGCATACAACACATATGTCTTCGGTTCCAACCCCTACATCATCCTCTTCAGTATCATTCCCTACAGTGTCATGTAACTGCATTAGCCTCTGTTCAGCTAGGGATCTCCTAATCTGTTCAAACATCAGCCTCTGTCGGTACTGCTCTATCCATCTCACTATGTACCGACAGATACCGTAGGCCAACAGGCTGCCTCCGATCCCTGCTGCAATTCCCGCCATCAGTTTGTAGTTTGCTGACTGGGTCTCGTAGTGCTGCACTAGCTCCACTAACCTCATCCGTGTGAGAATGTAAGACTTCTTTGGGTCATCAGGTGGACCTAGCTTCATCTGTCCCTGTTCCAACAGGACCTTGCCCACGCCAAGGATGTTGGCTCCTGTAGGCAACATGTGCTCTGTTATTTGGTATCGTTTCGGGAATTCTCCAGCGAAAAGATTCACTACATTCTGTGGAAGAATTGAATTGTGAACTGTGAGAGAGGGAAGAAGAATTTATTGAAGAAAGGAAGAGAAGAGAGAGAACATGGGAGGGAGAGGGAAGGTGAGGTTTGGAGACAGGAAGAGATAAAAACAAACAAGAACAAATGCACTTTATTTTCAAACGGTCACAAATGAGTGAGAGAGAAGGGAACTCAGAGCAAAAGAGAGATTTTTAGTACAAAGGAAGAGAGTGAGTGTATAGGTTTAGGGACACATAGTGAATGAGGAATAAGAAGGAAAGGGAGAAAGAAACGAGAGAGAGAGAATGTAAGAGGTTTTTAAAATGGATCAGAGGAATGTAATGAGTGAATGAGATAGGATATAGGAGAAAAAAGAGAGGATGAAAGAGTCAGTCGAAGAAGGATACATATATTATATACACCAGGGAGGACGTTCAGCCCCACCAGGACCGCACAACGAGCGATAAACACCTGATGATACCAAGTGCCACCATTTAGATGAGAACCACACGGACACAAGTCCCAGAAACCCCGTTCTATCCTTGAGTTATATTAAGGCCCCAGACAGCAACTCGGGTGGAGCTTTTATTGAAGATATGCACCACATAACATTATATATATATATATATATATATATATATATATATATATATATATATATATATATATATATATATATATGTGTGTGTGTGTGTGTGTGTGTGTGTATGTATGTATACACATACACACAATCTACGCTATAAAGCACAATTGACTCTCTGTAGTTGGTATGTACATTTTAATTCAACTGGTAACTTCTCTAAACAGTAACAATGGGTTAGATTTTCAATTGCTATTAAAGCAACAATATTAAATTTGACAGTTACACTGACGGCCAGGTTTAGGTGCATTTCTTTTAGTTATTGCAATAATCAGTAAAAGTAAACTTTCGCTGGAGTTACATCCCTTTGAATATTTTTTCGCTTATATCCTATTTTTAAATGTTTAAAAATTACGTTTCGTTGGTGTCCCCTATAACATAGAGTATAAGATATAGGTGTTAGATGAAAATGTTGCTTTATTGCTTAGATTTGAGGGACTACCAACATGCCGAATGTTAACCTTGAGTCATGCCCCGAGTCACTACCCCATCACTCCAAAGGAGAGCTAAAGTGACGGTAGCGCTAACTGTGAGAAGAAATAGTTTAGGAGGCTCCTAGCAGTCCACCTCGGGTCGTGACTCATGGGCCAGCTCCTACACTCTGTAAAGAAAAAATAATTATCTGCCACAGAAAATTCTGAGAAGAGCCGAACAGAGAATCACAATAGATGCACTGAATTGGGACGTTGATGGGTTGAGGAAACGAGGGCTCCCAAGAGAAACTTGAAGACGGAAGGCTGGTGTGTGTGTTTGTTCCTCCGTGGAGTTTTTACTGTGTATAGGGCAGGGGTGGAGACCAAGATGAGGTAGAGGACGGGAGAATAAAACTTTCTTTCACTATTGAAGCCGGTCGATTGAATCAAATACATATATAATTACAAGTGACAGAATAAACGATGCGGCCAGAAAGCCTCCATCAGTACACAATAATAAGACACTGATACTACAATGAAATCTTCAAAAGTTTAAAAAAAAACTAAAACTAAAATACACTGTGAAATCAATCAACAAAATAAAGATGGTAAGGAAAAACAATATGTAGCCGTTTTGAGAACGGGTGGCAACGGGAAGTTAAATTTGTTGTTTCAAATAACAATAATACGATAACAAATACACTAAATAAATCTTTGACTTTTTGGGGTCTTATTGGAGTCGTACTCATTGGGACCGTACTTACTGGGGCCCTACTTAATGAAGATGTACTTCTAGGAGATCGTACTTGCAGGGCCCTTATTACTGGGGTCGTACTTAACGAGGTCGTACACATTGGGGCTGTCCTTACTGGGGCCGTACTTACTGGAGCTCCCTTATTGGGGTCGTGTTTAGTCTGCTACAGCTGGGGGCCGAACCAGAACCATAGACAATTGCATTAGGCACTAAGTCAACACGGCTGCTATAATGTCGGGTAAAAACAGTCATGAGTCAATTAGGTGCTGTCTCCACAGTAAAGGTTGGCTGCCATGGATCTCCAACAAGCTCTGTCTCTTGTCCTGCTTGTACACCCTCTCAGACAGCTGCCCATCCACCTCTTGATGTTATCCTCCCACTTGTATCGTTGCCCACCTCTTGCTCTCTTGCCTTTGACCTTTCCCTCCAGTATAGTTTTTAAAAGTATGTTATGTCTTTTAATGTGACGGAAGTATATCAGTTTCAACGGTCATAAAAACTTGGAACTCACGACAATGAAACAGAATAGGAAAAAGACAGATGCTCAAATCTAGCCTTGCTATACTCGAACCAATCATATGTTGTCTCCAGCTCTTCTCGGAGCTGCACTGCTGTCTCTGGTTTAGTCACTTCAACTCTGTACTTAGGGTCATCTCCACCGTCCCTGACAATGGCGAACGGAACCACTTCCATGGTGTCTTTGATAGTTTTCTTGTTGTCAACCCTGAAACAACAAGATCACGTCTGGGTTTTTAGCCAATGGAAACTTCTTCTTCTTTTTTCCTCATCTTCCTCCTCTCGAATTCCACTGAAGTATAGGCTCTCGGCCAACTTGCATCGGGAGCCGCCGTGGCGAAGCGACTAGACGCTCGCGTGCGGATCGGAAGGTCGTAGGTTAGCCTCCTGGCGGAGCCAGACTTTTTTTCAACAATGACTTGACTCCCAGGTCAACCCAACCTTGAGTGGGTACCGGCGTTGAGGCGGCCGGCGTTATGCTGACCACATCACCCAGCAAATGCCGATTGGTCTGTCTGTCTGTCTGTCTATTTATTTATCTATCTGTCTCTCTCTAAGTGTGTGTTATAAGCACCCTCCCGTTTCTTTCAGACGATAGCATCACAATGTGCCGAAGGAAGGGATGACAATCACAGTTCATTGCGACGGCAAATGCAGCATTGGCTAAATTCCTTCCGTGTGAATCTACATGTCTGTAATTTCGTCTTTCTATATTCTTCTTAGCCGACATGTTGATCTTCTAGCATCCGTTTTTAGATGTATCGCCTCTAATGGTAATTTGTGATGCATTCAAATAAGATGCCCAGATCACTTGATCTGCTACATCTCAATAGATACAAAATGTTTACACAATCTTTCTGCTAGTGTCATTTTTCACTCCGCCTGGGGTGGTCAAACTAGGGGCTTTCCTAACTCTCAGGTGTTGATAGCGACGACATTTAGCACTGGTAACATAGTGCATTTATCAATAATCAGTTGCATTGTCGATATTAGCGAAGGAGGAGTAGTAGAAGAAGAACGAATGGACGAACTTTATTTTCAAAGGGTCACAAATAGAGCACGTAGGCCCGTCTTACATTCTGCCCTTCCAAACACCATCTTTCACACAGCAGTTGTATTTTATCAATAAAGCAGAAGAAGAAGAAGAAGAAGAAGAAGAAGAAGAAGAAGAAGAAGAAGAAGAAGAAGAAGAAGAAGAAGAAGAAAAAGAAGAAGAAGAAGAAGAACAAGAAGAAGAAGAAGAAGAAGAAGAAGAAAATAAAGATGAATCAAGAATTGCACTAGAGACATTGTCACATATTGTCCATCTCCTTTATTAGTAGCCAAAGAGTCCTAATGTTTAATAGTGCCCGTTGCAATACATTGAAGACAAAACCCCGATCTAGACGGGAAGTTAAACAAAGATAACAAGGCCGACAGGGTGTATGCTAGCTATGAGTTACAACATATTCAATTAACATTTTTTAATGTATGCAGTCTCCAAATTAAAAACTGTATGCAGGTGTGTTGGAAAATGAACAGGCAGACAGCCTGGCTGGTTGTGCACGGACTGGTTGTGAATTTAAGCAAGACAAGCTATATGTGGTCAAGACTCGCTGAGAGCAAGGGAACATTGCGAAGGCACGAATATATAATTATGGTTTGGAAAGAACAGTACAGCTAGGAGTGAGCAGCGGATATGGTCATCCCTAAACTCAGAGGAAAGGCAAGAAAGTCATACAATCAAACTGTTTCTGGCACCATCGGAACTGGAACTCTCTGCTGGCTGCTGAAAATGACGATATAGCGAGTATGTGAATTCTGCGAGTTCTTGGCTCAACACTCAACGGGTTGGCTGCAGCGTACCCACCTATGTCTTAGGAATATTACACCGTTAGGTCACAGTCTCTTCCGCAGAGTGATTCTCGTGCCACTGTCGGCACTCCCCACTAACGGTCCAGAAAAAGAAAACTATTCACCACGGAAATCAAACCTTAATACTTTAAAAAGTGTGAAATTGTGAAACGCAATCACTAACCTCAACACACAGATTAACAATAATCCTCTGTTTAAAGTCCATGTCGTGTGGCGTAGGTAGTCATGTCTATCCACAACCTTCTGTCTCGTGTACTTTAAGTAAATTCCGGTACAGCCGATCTTCCATTCCATGCCATGATGTCAAACAACTCTCAACCTTCCCCCACCTTCACAGTGTATTTCAGTTTTCTCCTTGTCATGATATGAACAAAGAATGTAGATTGTCTCCTTCTGGTGTGGGCATTCATTTCTCTTTGTGAGTCACTTTCTTTCAGGACATTAATATTAACATTATTATTTTTAGGCAGCCACGTTGTGTAGCGGTTATACGCTCGTCTGTGATTCCGTAGGTCGTGGGTTCAAATCCGGACGGTGCTCGACTCTTTTCGAAAATGACCTTGGCTCCCAGGTAGAAGTCCTGGGAAGTAAAGGCAGCCGGTGTAATGCTGACCCAATCACCCACCGACTGGTCTAAAAAGAAATAAAAAGTGTAGCTCTATTTGCTCTCTTCGCATGAAGCTGAGAAAATGGTTCTTTATTATTATTAACATTAATATAAACAATAATACCAACATAATAACGCTCACCAGAAACCATTCTCTAATCGTAATGTATGCTCCACGACCCGTGACCTCTTCACAACTCCTTCTCTGTTGCCGTGACGACTGTGCAACGTCTGCCCCAACTCTTTCACGATTCCCTCCACTGCCGCGTAGTCCAAGTAATGCTTGTCCTGCAGCCGCAGCTGGTTCTCTAGCAGTGGGGCAGGTTCCCAGACTAGAGTGCTCTGTGTCAACAAGAGACAACAGCAATATGCACAGTAAAGTAGAAAGACAAACTGATGATTTGTTGAAATCATTCAAGACACAAGAAGCGGCTGTTCAAAGGGTTTAGAATGCAGAGCTCTCGTGGGGAGAGCCTTTTTCGATTCATCGGTAAGGTTGGGGATTTTTTTTAATGTCGGGGGGCAAAATCATAAACCAAACCTGCCCATCCAAATGCGACCATGCCAGTAGAGATTCGGGACAAAGTCCACCCCATATTTTTTTTTTTTTTTTTTTTTTTTGGGGGGGGGGGGGGGGGGGGGGGGGGGGGGGGTATTTTCCTAATATAATCTTTGCTAATTGCGGCTAAGATGATCTAAATAGGTAAACTCCATGACTTTCAGGGGCGACGATGAGCAGAGGCGGGTAGTATGGGGCCGTTTCAGTGGTTATATAGTAGAATATGGACCGCAGAAATATCAGATTCACTTAAAAGTACTAGATAGGAAATGCCGAAAGGCATTCCAGGAGTAGAGACAAGAAGAAGAAGAAGATAGAATAAAGTAAATTAGGGATAGCCTACTACTTGGCTTAAGAGATTAAATAGAGCGATATGACTTAAAGGGGTTAGAATGTATATATGTTATATAGTAAAATATGTCAAGCTGATTATAGGGGTGGGTATCAGTTGAAGTTCGGGGTGGTTTGCGGTCAAATAGCATCACCATCAGCAGCATGTGCCATGCCGACAGGCAAGGGTGATCATGTTCCTCAAGGTTGTTGGCTGATAAGCTGTGGTTATGGTAGTGTACAACTAGGCGGCGATAGGCGATCACCTGCAAACATGCAATAGGGGATAGGGGTCATAAGGCTCCCCTGGGCACATGGTGCTATTATTTTATATAGAGTAAAAATTAACAACATGGCAAAATAGTGTGTGTGCTGTATCATAATATTAGGTGCCGGTGGCTCAGTGAGGCTTTAAGTTGTCGTGTCAGCTAGTTACATAAGGGATTTAGGGGTGAAAGTGCTACTGATGCGTATGGTACTATCACTTTATATAGAATCAAAATCAAAATTATAACAAAGGAGTGGATGTTATATCACAGTGTTGGGTGATGGTAGATCGCTCAGAGGTCAAGTTGTCATGTCAGCTAGTTACCTGAGGGGTTTTAGGGGTCATTGAGGGTCACTGCATTTGGTGTTATGACTTTATATAGAGTAAAAATGGAAAAAAAAAAATATGGCAAAGGCATTGTATCGCGATGTTAGGTACCAGTGAGGAATCAAGTTATCTTGTCAGCTATTTACCTGAGAGGGTTTAGGTCTTATAGATAACCTCCACCACGAACAGTTGACATGACTTGCAAATGTACAGTAAAACAAAGTCACTTAAAATACCGCCTGGCAGACGACTGGGGGGGGGGGGGAAGAGGCGGTCGGTCAGCTAGTTGAAGGGATAAATAGTTGATCAGATGTTAGACTGCCTTTAGAAATCATCCTGTTAACTTTGTGAAAAATCGCAGGGAATCTGGGACTTGCCCTATTGGTCTGTTGTCCCAGTTACGATTTGTTTAAACTCATGGCTGTATTGTAAACCTTTAGGGATCAGCCAAGATGGAACAAAGTGATTGATCGATTGAGCCAGATAACCCTTGACATCATATACAATATTAGGTAGTTGCTATAACTGTCTGAAGGTGTACTTAGAATACATACTTGACTTGACAATCTATACTCCTACAACCTAACTCAATGCATTCATAAGCTATGCAATAGTGAGTAACAAAACATAATAGCAAGGCATAAATATCCATTACTGAAATAGAAAAAAACGCTATACATTTCCCAATTATAACCGGCAGGGGCGGAACAGAATATTGATGTTTAAATTACGACTTCTAACTTAGGGCTACATAAACAGTAAGTTAAAGAGTGCAGATCTCTTAACTAGGTCGTCAGATGTATTGGGAATATAGGGCAAGAGCTATATTTTATTAACCGATTGGGCGGGGAAAGGGGAGAGGATGATGTGGTCAACATCACGCCAATTGCCTTTACTTCCCAGGACTATACCTGGCGCCCATTCAAGGCTGGGTCGACCTGGCACCCAAGGTCATTTATGAAAAAAATTCAGCCTCCGTCAGGACCCAAATCCACGATCTTCTCATCCGTAAGCGAGCGCCACGGCGGCTGCATACAAACAGTATGATAAACAAATTAGCACATATTCATTAACACCCATTGAAAGTAGATTGAAGGACACATTAGACAACATAACATCGCAGGCTCCTGTTGCCGTCGATTTTTCTGTTATCTGCGTCTGTGGGCTTGAATGTTACGAACGCTGTCTACAATTCCGGGATATCTTGCCTAATCCTAGCTGTGGGCGATTTGGCAGCAGACCGCCTTGTGTTGATGGCGACAATGTTAGCAAGAGCTGGCCGTTCAATGGCAAAGACAAACAGATATTGCCTAATTAAGCCTTGGATAATGAAAAAATATCTACAACAAAAACGATTGGTAATAATAGACATTAGTAATGATCGGACGTTGTGGAGATTTTTATGATGACGAACGTCGCACGGCAAGATTTATAAGGAAAAGACTTGAACCCACTGCCCTGAAGGGAATGACCAAGTGTCAGTTCACGTACTCGAATTTGTCGCGCAGTTTCACTGCAACTTCTATAGAGCCTGAAGAAAACGTAGCTGGCTGCCGCAGACAAAGCTCCGCTGACTCCAATAAAAACATAGATGTTCGTATTGTCCGCCATCTTCTTTGCATAAGCTGGACTGGATTCTTGTTTTATGTTTTAAATATATCATCATCATGTAGCAGGTCCTTTGCAGAACGTCGCTCTCATCACAGTCTGCCTGTAAGAAACTCGGTCTTTTGCCAGTTCTCCCGCCTCATGAACTTTCACACTCAAGGAGTCACTTATTTCCTGTACCCATCTTCGTGTCGGTCGACCTCTGCTCCTCCCTCCTGGTACCATGCCTTCTGCTATAATTTTTTTCCAATCCGTCGTGGCGCTTGATATGACCAAAATATTTCAGCTTTCGAGAAAGGATGCTGTTTATTAGCCAATCTTCCTTGATGTTCAGATCTTTTAAGATGTCAATATTTCTCATCTTCTTTGTCCAAGATATTCTGAGAATCTTTCTAGAGCATTTCAGCTCAAAAGCCCCTATTCTTTTTCTTAAGAACTGAGAGATAGTCCACCACTCACATCCGTATGTAGCCACAGGGAAAATGCATGCTCTCGAAATTCTAATTTTTATCTCCTTGCTGGTGCTTAACCATAGACTTTTAAGGCTGTTCAATCTTTTTAAATAGATACGAGTTGGAAATTTTTCAGGTTAAAAATGAAAGCAAATTAACACATTTTTTTTTTCGAGTATATAAAGCCCCCTTGTATAAGAATAATAATAGGACCCCTGTTTGTTTGCCCAGAATTAATTCAGTAAGAAATAAATATTTTGGCTATCATCCGAACTTCGGGCACTGAAGATGGCGGCCGCAAAATATCCTTTCGAGCCACAGTCACGTGACTCAATTTGCGGTTCTCCGGCTGTTTTCCGGCGACTACCGCCACCGCCTCGAGTCTCCCATGCCGCTCACGCCGCGTGAATTGGGGCTAAACTAGATGGCTAGGACCCATAAGCAAAGCTTCAGGAGATGCGGAAGCTGCTGCTCGGAAAACCGCCGGAGAACCGCAAATTAAGTCACGTGACTGTGGCTCGAAAGGATATTTTGCGGCCGCAATCTTTAGTGCCCGAAGTTCAGAGGATAGCCAATATTTTAACAATTTTTCCTGTACAAGATAACATGCCAAACTGAAAAAAAGCTTTTCCCACCTATCAAAATTATCTGCGCAAAAAACAGTGACATGCTTTCTTAAGACCCTTCAACGCGAGAAATGATCTAGGCATGCAGCATGGACCTATAGCTTAAATATACGGTCAACAACAATTCCAGGCATAGGCAGAAAGGCTGAAGAATATGACCTGGTGCTGCATGCAAAGACCCTTGAACATGCCTACAACTCTTACCCAAAACCCGAATGGACACAGGTATACATCGACAGATCATTGGAGAAGGAAGCATGAAAACAAGAAGGAGCTGTTCGTCACCATGCTGCAAGATGGAGACGTCATGTGCCTCTGGGAAAACTCTCAGCAAGCTTTAGAGCAGAGTAGCAAGCATTTATTGATGCATCCAAAGTGCTTGAGGAAAGAAAAATAAATCACTGCTTGTCAGTCCTCCTGGCGACGGAAAGGGATCCACGAGACAACACGAAGAGAGAACTGATCCGCCAGCTGAAAACTTTCAGAAAACAATCAGATCGTTTTTCGATGGATCCCGGCTCACTGCGGCATACCAGGATATGAGTTAGCAGACAGACTTGATATGCTATCAATGCCAAACGTGGACACTTACATCCTCTAATGAACGCAAAATTGTGACAACAGAGATGAAATGCCTTAGAAGAGCTGCAGGAGTTTCAAGGAAAGACAGAATACGAAATCATGAAATCAGACGAATGCTAGGAATAAAGCCAATCTTACAGGTCATCAAATAACAACAAATGAAGTGGTTTGGACACCTAACAAGAATGCCCTGGTACTATCCGCCACAGCGAGCCACACTAAAACGTTACAACGGGTATAGAGCGAGTGGAAGACCTCGGAAAATATGGAGTGATAGCATTAAGAACAGCCTTACAGAAATGAACATCAGTCTTAATAGTGCTCTTGACAGAGCCCATCAACGAATAATACATCTCCCCCCGACACTTCGATGAGGTACAAGGTGGAAGAGAAGATGAAGAAGAAGAAGACAGACTTGCATAAAATGGAACAAAGGAGACACCACACTCCCATTTATTGTCATTACCAGAAATGAAAGCACCTATCAAAGGAAAATACAAGGAATTCTGGAGAGAACAAACCACAGTAAAAATTAATAAGATCCCACTAGCAGACTCAACAGAAAGCAAACTTAAACAATTTTCCTTCTATGAACAGAACACTGCAGGGTCATCTACCAAATGCACGAAATAAAGAATGTACAGTCACTACAGTGTGCCTGTCAGACAGGACCACAAACGCCTAAGCACATTCTGCAGACCTGCCCACTCTACCTGCAACTTCGAAAATAAACCTGGCCTCAAGAGCAAGGTATACAGAACAAGCTATAGGGAACTTTGAAGGGCCCTTCAGCTGACATTGCGAGTTCATAGAGGCAACCCACCTGATAGTCTGACCTGAGCCACGGCCAACTCTAGATATAAATAGGCCAACTGGGTCAACGGGGATTCCAGTTCTTGTGCAAGAATTGAGTTCCTCTGTGTTAACATTTTTTATCGAGGAGATGTATACACAAATTAAACTACAGTTTCATTAATTTTCTACATATTTTATAGAACTAAACCTCGTTTTTAAGGAAAATAAGTGTGCCAATTAAATATAACAATAAAGGCTCTTACACACAAACACAAATGCTTTTGCTACAGTCAACATGAACATAAACATCAGTAACGTTTAGATATAAACTAAAAGTTGTTCCAGCAAAAGTAAAGAAATATCAGTGCCAACTCTTTGATTCTGAAAGGGTATTGTTGCATCTGAGGAGCCGGGGGGGAGGGGGAGGGGTGACCTTTGTACTTTATCAAATTTAGCGCATAAAAATACTGCTATGAAACATGCACATGTCATACATACATAAATATGAATTATTGATGGTTATTATAAGTAGACTACTACAACATATAATTATACTGTTATTTAATAATTAGTAAACAAGCACAATCAGTATGAAATTGATATGTGCAATATTTTTTTCACCCAGAGTAGTTTTCTTAACAGTACTTATAGCACTACTAAATATGTATCCTCAAGGTACAAACAGCACAGACAAATTTCTCCAGTCTCATCTTGTTGGATTAAATCAATTCTTATCATTGCGAATTTTTTGGTAACTGTTTAAAAATACATAACACATATTTTTAATTACTGCATGCAACAACGCGTATAAGTATCATGAATGGTATATTATTTTAAAGGTAATTAAAGCAAATTAAAAAAGACCATATAACTGCAAATTGCTGAGCAACATACACATATCAATTTACAAAAATTAACACAGACCGTACAACTGCAAATATGCATAAGAAGTGGATGAACAACCAGAAGTTTCCGCAAGAGTTTACAGCCAGTGTCAGCGATGCAAAAGCCAATTTACAAAAATTAACACAGACCGTACAACTGCAAATATGCATAAGAATTGGATGAGCAACCAAAAGTTTCTGCAAGAGTTTACAGCAAGAGTTTGCAGCCAGTGTTCGCGAAGCATCAGTCAAATGGTTAAGGATTAATATTATTATTGTACTTCTACAACATATAATTATACTGTTAGTTAACAATTAGTAAAGAGGCAAACAGTGACTTGCTTTGAGAGGTTAGTTAGTAAATAAAATATAGTTTTATGCACTTACCCAGAGCTCCGAAATATCTTGACACAATTTATTCACAATTTGATTTCTACATTCAAAGTAGAAAAAGAATAAACAGCCAGTTCCCAAAAGTCCAAACTAAAGACTTGAAACAGTGACACACACATCACAACACGACTGTCTTCCGTGAATTAAAATAAAAATTGCTGTATATCCACTTCACAATATTCGCTTGTAGATTTGTAGTACGAATACGTTTAGAACACAGGACTTTGTAAACATATTAAAATGTCACACAATGCAACATGGAAACGATTCCAGTAACCTATTTTCGAGGGGACTCGTCGAAAATGTACCGTGATTCAGTTGTTAGGACTGAATATACAACCGGACGTGCCTGAGCATACACAACCGTGCGCAAAGAAGAAGAAGAAACAAAAGAAAAAAAATTTAATTACTGAGAAAATATATCAGCTCGCAGTCTTTAACTCCATTCCAGTATTTCATGTCCAATTAATTCATTATCATGGGTGCAACTCAGTCCAGCACCCCAGGCTTCTCTCATAAACGTTCGTTTTAGGGTTTCCTTTGGGCGCAACACCTGTCCTATAACTGTTGATTTTAGTGGTTGCCCAGACATTTTTCTTATTTCTTCACCCCTCTTGAATTCATCCCATTTTATGTTCATCATTTTTCTCAATTAATGTTTAATTAAGAATCGACATCACAGCACTCGGGAAATTCCCATAAGCGCTCCGTCACCATCTTCAGCTGCAGGCGCAGTTCCAATTCCGATAGTTCCGGTAACGGTCTGATTATATATCCGTCTCATCTGTTCATTAAGTTTTGATCGTTGGCCGGATGTACCGGTCACTCCTCAGACTGCGATGATCCATCTGTGCCCCCCCCCTCCCTCGCCTGCACCACCCAAAGGGCCCTTATACCATCTAGCTTGTCATGCATCAATGTATCATCAGGATGCGCAGAAGCAGCCAGTATAATAACTATGATAATCAAAAGTAAAAATAAGTAACTCAAAGTGAATATCACGGTAAAGAGAGAGATAGTAGTGTAAGTGACAAGTTACTCCTATCTTGGGCATGTAATAACAGATGATAGAAGAATAAAACAGAAGTCAACGAGAGCGTAAGATTGGCAAACAATATCTTCTGCTATATGAGAAAAATAACTAGAGAGATAAGCATAACATTCTAAATGAGAATTGCCTAATGTTATGTATACTCGGCTCAACTGTATGGCACAGAAATTTGGAAAAGGAACCAGCAGTGATAAAGAAAACGAATCAAGTCTCTAGAGTTGTGGTTGTAAAAAAAAATCTGTCACATTTCATATAAATATAAAGAATCAAATAACGAAGTTCTAGGCAGACTAGAAATGCGGGAAGGGGGGGGGGAGGGGTTGCTAAAAGAAATGAAAAAGATATAGATGAACCAGTTCGGCAATATTAAAAGACATAACACTCTTTTTAAATCCATATAAAAGGGAAGCGTCAAAGACAAGGAGCCAGTGACAGACGACGTTACAAGTGAAAGGACAACACCAGTTGATTTATGAAAAGCAGTCTGCGAGAGTGTATAACCCAGACGAGATACATAATGTTGGAGATCGATTTCAGCAACCTTTGTTGTGACGATTGTACTTGACTAAGGAGCCGCCGTGGTGTAGCGGCTAGACCCTCGGAACAAAATGTTGTAGTTTCAAATCCGTACAGAGCCGCTTTCTTCTTCTTTTTTTTTTTTTTTTCCTTAAAAAAAATGCAACCAACCTAAAAAAAAATGGGTACCAAGTCATTATAGGTAAAGGCGCCCGATGTGCGTGGTGAAGACCACATCGCCCACCAAGTATTGACTGGTTTATAAAATGTTTGTCTAGCACTCTATGCTCAATACGCCTGATGATGTGGAAAAGATCACTTTACCGAACGGGGTGGATGATACCTGGCACGGCTCTAACTACTAATGCTTCAAAGGAATCTAGCAACCAATGACGATTGAAACACCAAGGTCAGGGTCGATTAGGGGCAGTGTTGCCACTTTGGATCTTTTGTATCCAAATTTAGATCTTTTTCATTGCGTTTAGATCCTGTTTTTGACGTTTAGATACTAAATATTTTTCTAGGTTCTTTTCATATGGAGTTAGATATTTTATAGATTTTTTTGTTCTTTTAGTGTCATTTTAATAATTATTGAGTAAAATATTTACTAAAATATTTTTGTTTTGGTCTGGCACGTATATTGTGGCAACTGCCATTACTTAAACTTTGAACTCTCACTAAGGTCAACACTCAAATATCTGACAACCCCGGTGCTGATTAATCGAAATCGCGCGTAAAGCATACTGACTTTGTTTCAACCGTATCCTCACTGTGTTGTGAAGTATAGCTGTGATGCTGACTCTGTGTTTCTTTTTCATGTGATTTTTAAAAAAATAATTGCTCACCTTCTTGTGTGGCTTTCACTTTGAAAAAACATTTCAACATGCCAAAAGTAAAGTATGAGCAAAAATTTCGGAAAGAGTGGTTGCATGATGACAAAATTAAAGACTGGGTGATGGCAATTCCTGGGGATATAACCAAGGCTCGTTGTAAGCATGCAGAGACTAACAAGCATAAAACTGCAGTTCCATTCAAAGATATTACACCGCTGACATCTGTTTTCAGAACTACACTGATAAATGAATCATCAAAAGTTGAAGGGTCGGTCGCAATGTTTTTCAGTTGCCATTGTGCAATTTCAAACTGTGACCATTTGATTGATTTGTTTAAAAACACAATTTCTGACAGTAAAGTTATGGATGATGTGAAAATGCATCGCAGCAAGTGTACACATATTATAAGAAATACTTTATTTTCTCACTTCGAAAAATTTAGTTTATTATTAGACGAATCAAATGATATTTCGGTACTGAAAGTGCTTGGTGTGTGTATTATATATTACAGCAACAATACAGACAAAGTAGTTTCTACATATCTTGCACTAGTTCAATTGGAAGCTATCCCATCGTTAATACTTATAAAATGTATGTGTCATTCATTGCAGCTAGCACTATCACATGCTTCATCTGAATGTTTACCAAGGAATTTGGAATACCTTATTGCTGAAACACATTACTGGTTTTCAAAATAATTTGTCAGACAACAGCAATACAATGCATTGTATTCAACCTTAAATAATGGTTCCACACCACTGAAAATTCTGTCAGATTGCAAAACCAGGTGGTTATCAATACAACCAGCTGTTGAAAGAATTGTGAACCAATTGAATGTACAGTGATGAAAAAAATTTTGCAATCCTTCTCTTTTTACAACCTATTCTAATGGAAGTGCAAAAAGTTAATAAACTGTTCGAATCCAAACATGTTGATAAAGTTAAATTACTTGACGATCTCACTTTGCTATTTTACTCAGTTGGTAAAAGACTGGTGTTGCCAACTTCAAAAGTTGATTTGCTCACTTGCACTATAGAGAGCTATTTGGCTCCTAAGCCATACTTTGGATATCAAATTGAATCAAAAATTGATGTTTTAAAAACAAAAGGACTGTTAACAGAGAATGAAGAGAACAATTCAAGAAAACGCTGTCAAGATTTCCTTATCTCATTGTTCAAGCAACTAAAGCAGAGACTTCCTGAAAATCTAGATGTATTGAGACATATTTCACTCTTTTCTGTAAGCAACATACTTCAGCCAGTAAAGGACATACCTAAATATTGTAAAGTTATGCAATTTTTAGGGGCTACTGACAATAGTTTTGCGGAAGCAGAATTTCAGTTAACCAAAATAAACTTAGTTGAATGGACAAACAAAACAGAAACTGAAGCGTTTTGGAGTGAAGTGAGACAATTTAAAGATGCCTCATCAAACAGTCCATTCTGTAAACTCTTTGAATGTGCCATATCTGCCATGATACTACCCCACTCAAATGCTGACGTAGAAAGAGTTTTCAGTGCTATGAATTACATCAAATCTAACCTAAGAAACAGGATGAAATTAGACCTCTTAAATGCTGTCTTGACAATACAGTTTGGCCTGATGAGAGTAGGAAAATGCTGTTCCACTTATCAGCTCCCTGATTGTGTATTAAAAGAAATTGGAACAGCTAAAGCATACCAGAGTCATTTTGGATCTGAAGCTTCAACTTCATCATCCAAGCTAAGTTTATCCTGTGGATCTTGTGAAGCAGACATCAGTGAAGATGAGGACATGTGTCTATAGGGTAAGTCATTTCAATAGTTTTGTAATTTGTGACTCTTTTCATTTGGATATTTTTTTAAATATTTTCCACGCAAATTTAGATCTTTTTAGATATTTTTTTTACCCCGTTTTGGATCTTTTTTGTCAGAGAAAAGTGGCAACACTGATTAGGGGAGCAGAAGCCAAAAAATTTCAAACTGCCGGACGACAAGACGGACGTTGATAGATACATTGACATTTCTGTTAATTGAAGACAGTAGCTGTCGAAAACGAGCGTGCGTATTTCTGTTTGTCCTAGTCGGAATAGAAGTAAGAATATAATAAAGTAATAATGTCCTGTGATAAGTTATTTAATAAACCGATTAATCCGGCAGCAAGCTGTATAATTGCCATCATTACCTTAGTACTCAATTTACCCCACCAGGACGTCACAAAAGCCTCCATGCGGGCACTTACAGCATCTAGCATGAAGCTTGGAGTACGCCAACAACAGGACTATTGAATCAGAAGACCAAGCAGAGTGAGACGAAAAGAGAAAATCTATACTATTGGACTTTCACTAAAACTCCAGAAGAAAATCTCAGGGTAGCTGAAATAGAGTAAATTAAAAGTAAAGAAGCAAAAGATCTGTATCAGAAATGATTGCCAGTCTACACAACAAAAAACTGAGGACAGCTGTGATGACCAGGGCCAAATGACATTGATTTTAACTCTTTCGGTCCCTAAGAATGCATGATGTGTTTCTGACTCTTCCCTACTTATCTCAGACCTCACACCAAGTGTCTCCTTATATTTAGGTTTTGGTCAGTTTATACTAAATGAATCTGGCAACCACAGGGGTATCTTTCATTCATTTTTCATTGTGACAACACAGCAAGTGGTTCAAGTTTTTGTGACAGTATGTAATGGATAAAATAAAGATTTTTGTACAAAACCTTGGGGGAACAGAAAAGTAAAGAAGAAGAGTTGTTGCCAAACAATACACCAAAAGCTTTAATAGATACATATTTATATAACATTTGAGGACTTGCTGACATTAATTCATGTAACTTTTGAGTGTTTGTCCTTTAAATTTTGATTTGGAAGTTGTTTTGTGGCTCACAACTTACAGCTGATCTGATATCTGCGTCTGTTGGCCCAGTACATTTGATTTCAGCAAACGTTAATTAGTCACCTTGTGTGACATGCCCATCTCGGAAACAAACTGAGAGGCAGTAATCATGGGTTATAGGTCCTTGTAAGTTGCGTAGACAAGGGACCCAGTGCTCCTGACAGTGAAAGACATTCTCGAACGTCACTGAGGTAGAAGATGTCGTGGTTGGGCCTCTACTACGATATGAAGATGTGTGCAAGCGGAACATGAATGATACATGTATTGAAGTAAATTTGTGGAAACAAAATGCCATGGACCATGTTGTGTGGAGAGGAAATCAGAAAGGGAATGAGAATAGAAATAATTGCAGAATGAATGAGAGCTCAACGTCTGAGAACAAGCACACTAAATGCATGTGATGGCAAGAGAGGTCTTGAAATTCTATGCTCTAATTGTGGATGACTTTTATTGGCATGAGCATCTTGACATCACCATGGGCTGTGATTCGCTGTATAACATTAACCTCTGGAAAGACAGAAAGGTGCCAACAACACAACATGGCATGCTTGTTACATAGTGGTCTACTTTCTCCAGAAAAAGTTTAACCCTGGAACCAACACATAGAGCTGGCACTCTTAAGATACTGTAATAATGCAGTTGAGAGTTTAGTGCAAATCATTTGAAGAAAATTCTGTATTGTTGATGTTTTCTGTCCTCCCAAACTTTTTCTAGACTACAACCATGACAGGGGATAGTTCAACAAAACGGCTGCGTTTTCTTACGTACATGACTCCTGATATACCACTGGATACCTTTTGCCTGCTTCGAAACTGTATAGAGGATGCAACTGGGCTGGAAACTGACCTTATTGTAGAAGACCGCTTTACTGGGCCTCCACAAGGCAGAGCCGACCCATTTACTGCAAACCATGTGGACATTAGTAAGAATTTGCACAAACACATGCTCAATGTTCTGCTTTATTGACTGGTGTCATATATATATTTGAATAGTTTTTTGTGTGACTAAGTCTGCATGTTTATCTCTCCTACCTCCGCTCCCCTTCCCCCCCCCCCTTTTTTTTCCGCCCTCTTCCGTTGTTCACCTTCTTCTTACGACCTATGCAACTTATGACCATTCGCACTTATGATCACATAATTTAAATAAAGAAAAATAGTAAATAAAGAAAGATAACTGCATTGGTAGGGTCAAAAGGTTCCCGGAACTGATAAAATAGAGTGCATATTATGTATTTTTCACATTATGTACAATAATTATGCGTACATATACTGAATTTGTGTGTTTCGTGTACAATTTTTATAACCTGTTTGAAGGAAAACAGTGTTGACAAATATAAATTCGACTTAGGACTAGTTTGATTTACTGCCTGTTAGTCAGAACGGAACTCAATCGTAAGTCGAGGAAACCCTGAAGTTAATATCTGCATTTTCTTATCAAATATCTTATCTGATTTAAACAAAAAGAAGGTTCCATTTCTTTGCCGTTAGGTATCTGAGATATGGTGCTAACCCCATATGTTTTTAGACCAGCTGACACTTGGTAAGTGATGTGCTCAGTATCACAATGATTTTTATTATCTAGCACATTTCTAGCTGCCCATTTTAGGCCGACCTGTAAGCCTATTTTTGGAGAGAGTAAAAATTTGCCTCAGTGGGGATTTGAACCTTTGAACAATTGACTAGCAGCAGTCATACTAGCAAATATGCTACTGTGCAGCTATTTTACTTTCAGGATAAGCTTTTTACATGACCCAGACACCTAATTTGTTTAGTCCTTAATAGGACTTTTTTTGGCTCTCCTTTTAATAACGGTCGCTAGCTGGAAGGCGACGGTCGCTTAGTCGGAGTTCACTCCCTTGGCTGCAGTGCAAATACGGAGTGGTAAAGAGGGAACGAAACAAATGACATACTTACCTGTCATGCTACGATTGCTCAGGCTTAGGCTAGGCTTAGGGTTTGGGTTAGGGTTTGGGTTAGGGTAACACTTGAATGCAGTCCTGCCGAGGCGCTAAGGACATAGGTCGGTTGTACGAGGTACATAGCTGCATGTTCCTTATAAGTCTATGCTCAGCTAGCCACCGCAACCACGCATACTTATCGGTCATTAAGGCATACAGATCTGCAGGAGTCAATCCGTGGCCACTAAGTCGTGCGTCGCAAGAACGTGGCTGCTAATGTGAGTCGCAGCTCGTTGTCTACCAGCCATGTTGACCTTGTTTTTGATTCGTGACTTGTCCACTCCGTATTTGCACTGCAACCAAGGGAGTGAACTCCAACTAAGCGACCGTCGCCTTTCAGCTAGCGACCATTATTTAAAGGAGAGCCCTTGGGGGGGGGGGTTAGAGAAAAAAGTTCCCATTTCTTATCACAGACTGTTTAAAAGAGGTACCGGTACTCACCACAAAGTGTCTATTACAGTGGTGCTGAAAAAAATTAGCCTAAAAAGGTGCCGGTACTGCGTACCGCTGCATACTACCAGAAAATAGCCCTGGTCCTGAATAATAGCACAGTCCTTTCTGTATAACAGTAAGTAGTATATTGAAGTAATAAGGGTTAGCATGGGAGGCCAAGAACCGTTCTACTAGACCACATGGATGACCCAGGTTTCACAGGGAAGACAAAATCTGACAGTCCGTGACTGACAGAGGACTTAAATGGAACAAAGTTGAAAAGAGAACTGCTGATTCACCCCAAGATAGAGAGGAGCAATTGAGTAAGTGAGCGAGTAAGGATTACATAGAAAAAGAAGAGGCTTAACTCCTGACACTTACATTGTGATTGTTCCATGGCTGAAATGTTTTGACAGGACTCTGTTGCATACAGGATATCACTGTGTCAGTGTGCTTGTGTGTGTAAAATGGAGAAGGGTTGGAGTTCCTAGTCTGGCAAAAGGCAAACAGGCGGTTTCTTCTGGAAATGTTAGGTGGAAGAGGATCAATCAAAATTAGTCGCATTTATTTTAAAGGTGTCTGTGGCTTAGGCATTGCAAACACGCTGGGTAATGCTGGGTTGCCAGGTTTCATCTCAGCTGCGGACAATTTGTCTTGTGATGGTTTCGACACTGGTACCGAGAGCTGACCATTCAGCAAGCAGTGACAAACACCTGAACGTAAATTTGCCTAGAATAACAGCAGCCAAAAACAAAATGCTGGGTTTGGTTCTGCAACATCCTGTGAAGGATATGCAACTAACTGTATTTAAAGGATGTCAGAAACTTACTGCATAATTTTTGTGACCGTTGGTGGTTTTACTAGATAAGTTTATTTTCATTAGAATGTCATTGTTCTCTGAATGGTTCAGTGTTTGTACCATTTTTGAAATAAACCAAAACTGTCTGCTTTCCAGTTGCCCTTAGTTGAATTTGAACCATGGTGTGTTGGATTTATGAATTTATGTTCATGACCCATTAGTCAGCGCGCCCCCTCACACACACATATGCACACACACTGACAAACAACCTCATAATGTAATAACTCTTTGTGAAGATTCAGCACACCAGATCATTAGGGCAGCACCTACATATGAAATTAAAGACATGGAATTATCTGATCTTTGAAGTCATCAGAGACCCTTCGGCTTGACGGTCAGCTGCTGCTGGTCAAGTGAAACCCCAATAGATAAAAAGACAGAGCACTGCCTTTCTGGTCCAGCAGCCAATGCAACGTGCTTTGTTACAAACATGTTTGTGTTACCTGTCCTATGGAGTAAACAAGGCAGGCTGAGAGAGGGATTGTGATACATGGCTAGCACATGATCCTTACCACACTGGCCAGGCTTTGTTTTGTGGAGAGGAGGAAATCACTGTCCCCATAGGCTATGGTTCCTATGGCTCTCCATCTGCAGTTTAACCAACGGAAAGGCAGAAAGGTTTAATCACAAAACTCAGGTTCTGGAACAAAACTGAAGTCCAGATGGGGGATGACCAATCATAACTTTCTGCTGGAGTTTACAGCCAGTAAATCCGAAGAAGAAGAAGAAGAAGAAGCAGCAGAAGTGAAAGAAGAAGAATTAACAACTAATGCCATCTAAATTTGTTATTGCAGTGGCTCTTCACACGTCTGATTACCTGCGGTTGAAAACTCAAGGCTATGACAAGATGGAATTATGTCCTGCGGCACCGGTGCACAAGCACCCAATGACTAGAGACAGGCCTGTCTACTTCTCTGAGGTGATCATCCATGCCTCCAACAGGTGGGTTTGCAGTAACCACAATAATAACTGTGGCAGCACCAGTGATGGTGATAATGGTTTTCTTCTTCACTTTCATCAGCTGTAAACTTACTTTACTTTATTTAGTCGCTCCTCTTCTACCTTGGGGTGTAGAGGTTTGCCAGAGAGGTCGCCAGACTTGTCTGTCATTCAGGGGCTATCAAGATCATCAGCTGTAAACTTACTTAACTTTATTTAGTCGCTCCTCTACGACCTTGGGGTGTAGAGGTTTACCAGAGAGGTCGCCAGACTTGTCTGTCAATTAGGGACTGTCTTATCACCGGCTTTAAACGCTAGCGGAAAGTCTTGGATGTTCATCCACTTCTGGACTTTGGTCTTGTGCCAGTGTTGCCTGCACATCCATTTGACAAATTTAGCATATTTATGTGCATACTGTTGGTTCCTTGACTCTCAGGCAGATGCTGTATGACTTCAAAGGGGTGTTTACAGTAATTATAATAGCTTGTCGAAAGAGCAAATGCAGTGAGAAGCTGATGATCATCAAGTGTAATTCCTCTCTCTTTCTGCCCTTTCTCCTTCATTGAAGTCTGGTAAACTAAAGGACGTTTTTTTCCACTCCTTCAGGCATATTAGGCTTGTAGCACTGGACCTATATTTTATAGTCTCACCGACACTCAGTGGGTGATGTGGTCAACATCACGCCGACCACCTTTACTTCCCAGCACATTACTTGGTACCATTTTCAGGCTGGGTCAACCTGGGAGCTAGGGATATTTTTTGAAAGAAAATGTCAGGATCCATTCACATTTGAACCCACGACCTTTGGATCAACAGATGAATGTCTAGCTGCTACACCACAGCGGCTCCAGTTGAAGTATAGGTCCTCAACCAACTCATATTAAACCATCCCATACCTTGCGATCCCATGAGGCTTACTCCTAGTGTTAAATGTTGAATTAAGAATCAACATCATAGCACTAAGGACACTTCCATAAGCGCTCTGTCCCAATCTTCAGCAGCAAGTGAAGAGTTCTAGTTCTGATGGCGCCAGTAACTGTCTGGCTGTATATCCATCACACCTTTCCCTTGAGTGTCAACCGTCATCCAGTTTCCCTATTAACTCCCCACAGCGCCATTCTCCTCAGACCATAATGATCCATCTGTGGCTCCACGCTTCCAAAGGGCCCTCACAACATCCATCTTGTCATACATCAGTTGACCACCAAGTGGTGCAGAACCAGCCAGTCTACCCGGCTGCTCATTTCCTAACACGTGACCTGGATAAAATATCTAAAGGATGCTAACTATCTGGGACCTCAGAAGGGATGCTTGCTACTCTGCATGGAGCATGCCTGTCACTACCTGTTTAAAAAAAAGTAAAGATCCCTTTTCACACCTTTATGTGCATCAGGCATATGGGAAGAGCACCCATATTGTTACAAACCAATTGGCACTGGGTGGGTAATGTGGCTCTCCACCTGTTACTCCCAAGTTATTCACCTCTGTCCCTGACTATCTACTCAGTGTTTTTTTCTTTGTTTGGTCCTGTGTTCCAGTGCCAGGATGTTTCTAGTTTAATATTATCAGTTTTTCTAAATTTGTGTCTCATCCAATTGCAGCCTCTCTTCCTCACCTCATAATTCATTGGTATTTGCTTAGTTCTGTCCTAAAATTTCACATCACTAATTGGTGAATGACCTGTACTATACTGATATCCATGACTGACCATAGTTTCACTAATAGCACTTTGTCTGAGATAGCCTAAAATCCTTTGACTGCTGATCTAAAATTATGCCAGATCCTCTTTTGTATTCCCTCCCTCCTCCTGAGTAAACAATTGTGTGTTTATCAAGAATAAATGTCCTCTACACATTATCATTACATTTCAATAACATCTATTTCATGAAAAAGTATCAGTCCTGACGAGAAATAGAACTACTCAGTTGCTTAATGTCACAATTACCTGACAAAATGAAGGTCCTTCACCCCCTCTGTGGGTTCGGGGGCTCCAGTATGGAGGACAAAGAATAGACCCACTGCCCCCCCCCCCCCCCCTCAGGTGCATCTACCTAAGAGGCAAGGAATCAGCAGTCTGCATACAAATAAGCCAGATCTATAAAATGGATATGAAAGCAGTAAAACCTCAGGCCCTGGCACAAAGCCAAAGTCCAAATGGACAACGAACAATTTCCACCGGAGCTTACAGCTGGTGAACAAAGAAGAAGAAGATATTGGGGCACTCTAAAACAGTTATGTATAACCTATAGTTCATTGTGGGTGAGTTGTAGCAGTTTTATTGCACATAGATACCCCTAGGAGTGCTTCTTCTTTTTTTGTCTTCTTTCGTTGTCTTCTTCTTCTGCCTGTCATCTCCACATGGAGCATGGGCCTTCAGCCACTTCATGTCATTGTGTGTCGAGTTGTTTGTGATTGACTGGCTTTTGCAGCTCAAGTTTTCTACATAAGACCTTCTTAACTCTGTTATTCTCAAGTGATGTTTGATTAGCTGCTCTGTGAATCCCACCCAGCATGTCATGTTTTCTCTTATTTTCTACATTTGGTTTAAACATGCTGAAAACACTGAATTCTCTAGTATTTACCTTCCTTGAAAGAAATAGACTTAATGTTCTTCTATTGGTTATTAATGCCGTTTGGCATCTCCTATGAAACCTGCTACTCAGACAGTTAACTCCCCATTGTGACATCCATGGTATAACAGAGTTACTGTTCTTTGCCTCACTTGCGGGCCTTGTTTGATTCAGATGTTTGCATGTCAGTGTTTGAGCTAACACCCAACATTGCAGGCAGAAATATAAAGGCATGAGAGATCTGAAAGGATGCAGCTGGGCATATAACCAGGAAGAGTCACTTAGTGGAAACCTCATTATACTTAAATACTTGAAAAATTCCCTGGGAGCCAATGCCTCATATTTTGGAAATATCATGCAATCAGGCAAGTTTTCACAAGTTGTTTTTTTCCCCAGCTAGAATATTTGAGTTGATAGTTTTCCGTTTACTGAACTGCACCCTGCCATGTCTGGACTTCAGGTTGCTTTCTAACCGTCGGGGCCCCTGTATAACTTTACAGTTGAATTGGGCTTCTGGGATTTGTGCCTGGGGGATTCACATCCGAATAGTGACTCTTTCTGTCACTGGGTGTTAGTCGCTCAGTACTCGGTCCTAATGAGGTTCAAGTTCTTTCCTGTTGACAGTAATTTTAATTCTTAGTTCTTATTTTTATGTTTATCATGTAATTTTTGTTTTTGTTTTTTAATGTTGGAATTGTTCAAAGTCTTCTTTAAGTAGCTTAATAATATTAATAATATTAATATTGCTACAAAACATTTTAAAAGGCTTGTTTCTCAATGCAAAGTCATATCTAAAATAGTAAACTGGTCCAATACAAAGATTTCTGAACAATTTCTGCGGATGGATTTTTTTTCTGTAAAACATTATTTTTAAAGATGTACACGCAAAACTCAGGCCCTGGCACAAAGTCCAAATGGACGAACAACCAGGACTTCTGCCAGAGCTCACAGCTGGTGAACAAAGAAGCAGAGGATGAACGATTTTTGTGGATGCAGTTCTTTCTGTAAAATATTTTTAAAGAGGTGGCAGTAATTCATGAGCTAGCAGGCTTGCCTAATGGTGATAAGTCTGAATCCTTTATGAGTGGATACATTCTCTTGGGCCCAAATGTCTATCCAATCTATAATGAGTGTCATAAAGTACTTGGGGAAGTATAGGTGGCTAGCAGGTCAGCCCAGTCCAAAAGTGGGTTTCATAAAATATTTGGGGAAGTAAAGGTGGCTAGCAGGTCAACCTAACCCAAAAGTGGGTTTCATAAAATATTTGGAGAAGTAAAGGTGACTAGCAGGTCAGCCCAGTCCAAAAGTGGGTTTCATAAAATATTTGGGGAAGTAAAGGTGGCTAGCAGGTCAGCCCAGTCCAAAAGTGGGTTTCATAAAATATTTGGGGAAGTAAAGGTGGCTAGCAGGTCAGCCCAGTCCAAAAGTGGGTTTCATAAAACATTTGGAGAAGTAAAGGTGACTAGCAGGTCAGCCCAGTCCAAAAGTGGGTTTCATAAAATATTTGGGGAAGTAAAGGTGGCTAGCAGGTCAGCCCAGTCCAAAAGTGGGTTTCATAAAATATTTGGGGAAGTAAAGGTGGCTAGCAGGTCAGCCCAGTCCAAAAGTGGGTTTCATAAAATATTTGGAGAAGTAAAGGTGACTAGCAGGTCAGCCCAGTCCAAAAGTGGGTTTCATAAAATATTTGGAGAAGTAAAGGTGACTAGCAGGTCAGCCCAGTCCAAAAGTGGGTTTCATAAAATATTTGGAGAAGTAAAGGTGACTAGCAGGTCAGCCCAGTCCAAAAGTGGGTTTCATAAAATATTTGGAGAAGTAAAGGTGACTAGCAGGTCAGCCCAGTCCAAAAGTGGGTTTCATAAAATATTTGGGGAAGTAAAGGTGACTAGCAGGTCAGCCCAGTCCAAAAGTGGGTTTCATAAAATCTTTATGAAAGTAAAGGTGGCTGGCAAGTCAGCTCAGTCCAGATGTGGGCTTCATAAAATATTTAGAAACGTAAAGATGGCTAGCAGGTCAGCCCAGTCCTGATGTGGGGGAATACTTGGGGAAGTAAAGGTGGCTGGCGTGTTATTGGCACATTATCAACTGAATGCCGAGTGATCTCAGTTGAGTTGAATTGATTCAAGAACCGACATCACAGCACTCAGGGCATTCCCAAAAGTGCTCCATCTCCCATCTTCAGCAGCCAGTGCAGAGTTCCAATACTAGTAGTGCCAACAGCATTCTGATGTTAATCGTCTGGCCGTGTCTCTGAGCGTCGAGTAATGCCGAATGATATACAGAAATAGAGGACTATCATCATGTGCTCAGTTCGTAGTTTTTTTTAAGCATTTTTTGTAAAGATAGACCGCCTTCAACTGGTTTTTGAGAGCCAAGCAGTAGCAGACTGATGAGTGAAAAATTGCCTAGTGAAATCACAAGCAGCGACAAATTGCTGCATTTGGTTCTGCAATGTCCTGTGAAGGATACACAACTAACTTATGTAGAGACTTTAGAAAATTAAAAAAGTAAAAAACACAAGGGATTATAACTGTGAAAGAAACATGAGAGAAATACCACTGAATAAGTGTAGAAGTGTCGCCATCTGGGTCAGATTAGTACAAAAGAGGAGGGTGATGATGATGATCATTATTATCATCAGTTTCCACTTCTGCCATTAAATGCCGTGGGGAGCAACTGTTTAAGATCCACTGCTTGATGGGCAGCAATGGCTATTGTCATTGTCAGTGTGAAAGCCCTTTAATGTTATCAAGCCATATTCTCCTAGGGCAACCTACTATGGATATCGCATTCCTTCCGCCTTGATTCTATGATAGGTACCGTAAATCTGGGAGGAAATGTGGCTTTTCTGCCCACCCCCGGGAGTGAACGCAGACCACAAGGAGTTCGTCACCCGGTCACCGGTTTAGCCAACTACACTAGAGAGCCGGGCAAATAAAGAGATGAAAACAACTTTCACAATGTACAGCCACTAAAGTCTGAGGACATAGGAGATCCCATTAAAAAGTAAAGATCCATTTCCACACCTTTAGGCGTATCGGGCATATGGGAAGAGCGCCCATTTTTTTTTACAGACCATCAGCACTCGGTGGGTAATGTGGTCAGCATTGCGCCGACTGTCTTTACTTTCCCAGGACAGCCCATCCTGGTACCCATTCTAGGCTGGGTCGACCTGCGACGTCCCATACCACGATAAAAATCCAGGCAGGGAGATCCCATTAACTAGAATTTATTTGAGTTCACATGACTTTTGCAAAACTCATGAACCTCTGCATCGCAAGTGATGGAAATCATATTGAAGACGCTATTTAATATTCCAGTTGAATAAAACACTGTTAATAAATTTCTTTTCTTTTAAATATGTATTTTTGCCCATGTGTCCAGACTGAAGTGACAAAGAGTGAGCTGGACAGAAAATGTGTTCATATAGATGTTGAAAACTTTACATTCATCTACATTTGTCACATGCTGGGGTAGTGTAATGGCTAGATGTTTGCCTGCTGGCTCAAAGATCTAGGGTTCAAATCTGCACCGAGGTGGATATTTGTGGGTTTCAAAACACCTGATGTTGGCTTCCAGGTTGACTCAGCATGCAGCTGGCACCAGGTAAAGTTCTGGGAAGTAGCGGTGGCTAAGGCGTTGCGAGTCCGACTCGTAATTCCGGGGTAATGCAGTCGAAACCCACTGCTGGCTGCGTGGATTTTTATCATGGTATGGGTCGTCACAGACTAAAAATGGGTATTAGGATGGCTGTACTGGGGAAGTAAAGATGGCCGGCATAATGCTGACCACATTACCCACCCAGTGCCGACGGACTGTAAAAATATGGGTGCTCTTCCCATATACCCGATTCGCCTAAAGGCGGTGAAAAGTAACTTTACTTTTTTCCAAAGTTCTGGGAAGTGCGGCCGGCATAATGCTGACCACATTACCCATTGAGTGCATCTAGTCTCAAAATATAGGTCGAGACTTTTAACCCTGTTGCTCTAAACGTGTGAAAGGGTCCTTTACTTTTCTCATATGCCTACATCTAGAGTTCTTTTTCTCCTTCACGTTCGCTGGCTGTAAACTCTGGTGACAAGCTCTGGTAGTTCGTCCACTTCTGGACTTTAGTCTTATTCCAGAACTTGAATTGTTTGTACACATCCGTTTTAAAGATTTGGCAGATGCATTCTGACTTCCAAGGAAACGCCGCTAATTATTTGACCTTTACAATGTGCTTGCTAGAGGGCAGTGGATTGATTCTTTTTGCCCCAGAGTGGGGCCCCTGACCCCACACAGGGATTCTAGAGCTTAAAACTGCACAAGAACTTGGCTGACTTCTAATGTTTCTTTGTTTGCTGGACTAATCTTCATGTTTACCATCCAGTTAAGATGGATTTCATACTCCAGTAAGGTTGATTTATACGTCTTGGCCATATTGCAGGCAGCCACCTCAACTCCATCAAGATGGTCAGAGACTACAGAGCTGAGGCTGCAGCAGTGGACTCCACTGTCTTAGCTGGATACCTCCGGGAGCATGATGATTGTGCAGAGAAGATCATTTCTGTTCTGTCTTTAGGACCACTTCCGATTTACCCTTTGCTTTTCAACACTCATTTGTCAGGTATGCACTTGAGCATTTTTTGTGCATTTTTATTTGGGGGAGGGGAGGAGGCGTTCTTGAATATGAAAACAAGGTGTTCTTTATTTTAAACAAAAAAATGTCTTGAAGCTTACACTGAGAACTGATTACACCTATCACAAGGGCCAGTCATTATACTTTGTGACTTTGTCTGTTCTCCAAGCACACACACACAAAATTAGGATCTAAGAAGCAGCTTTGGCTTGCGTTGCAAGGAAGCAGAACTGGTCCTGAAGTGGTTACCAGCTCACTGTGGTATGAGAAAGCCAATGAGCTGGCAAGAGCTAGAAGTATTCTTCCGCAGCCTCATTCACCATAGAGTTACAAGGAAACCAAACAGCCCTAAATCAGTCATTCATGGGGGAGTGGAGAAGATAGATTGGAAACTACAGAGCAGAGAGTGACAGGAGAACAGTTGGAAGGGAAGAGATGCAGAGGGAGACCGAGAGAGAGGATGCTGGACAGTTAGGGATCATGGCATGGAGAAACACTTGTATCAGAAATGACTGACAGATTCATAAGGACAAAAATGGCATCGCTGTGATGTGTGACTTTCATCCTGAACCCTTCTAAAACTCCCTAAATAAACTGTTGCCCCATGCGGTCAGGATGTCAGGCTACTTCATAGCTGTCGGGAGCTCCAATATGATCTTGCCGTTGAACTTGAGTTTCTGGGATTTGTACCTGGGAGATTTTTAACCCCCCTCCATAAATTGGATCTGTGAACCCTCACCGGAAGTGGGCAGATGGGATTACCAACAAGCCAAACACCACACAGTATGGGTTGTTAGGGAATTACCAACAGGCCAAACACCACACAGTATGGGTTGTTAGGGAATTACCAACAAGCCAAACACCATACAGTATGGGTTGTTAGGGAATTACCAACAGGCCAAACACCACACAGTATGGGTTGTTAGGGAATTACCAACAGGCCAAAACCCACACAATATGGGTTGTTAGGGAATTACCAACAGGCCAAACACCACACAGTATGGGTTGTTAGGGAATTACCAACAGGCCAAACACCACACAGTATGGGTTGTTAGGGAATTACCAACAAGCCAAACACCACACAGTATGGGTTGTTAGAATAAGATAACAGTGGGTGATGGCTCGTCATCATCATGTGCCGTAAGCATAGGATGTCATTTTTCACCATCTCACACCATCACCAGAATCACGGATCAGTTCAATGTTTTTGCTTGCCTCACCCCTTTCAACTGGCCATGTTATATCTGTGCTTTCCTCTTGCTTTCTTTCCATCAATCTTGCCAGGTGTTACCAAGTTCTGGAGTCCATTCCTTCTCACAGTATGTCCTAAAACTATTGACTGTCTACGTGCTTCCCACAACACCTGTGATGGCTACCCTATGACATATAGCTTTCATTCTCAATGTTTCCTTCTGTACTTTTATTTTTTTTTTGTTTTTTTTGTTTTTGTTTATGGTTCTAATGTATAACATTTTTGTTTCTTTTGTGGGTCTACTTTGATGTCTGCCTGCCTATTTTTATAAACTTTATTTTTTTTTCAAACTTCCTTCTCAGATGATTTGAAACAGAGGATCTCAGATGCACTTCTGCAGATGCACAAATCCCACACCTGGGCGTCCAAGCTAAATGACATCGGGATCAGCAAGTATGTGGCAATGGATGCAAATCTCTACAGGCTGGAGGAGGACATGTCCACCGGCGTCCAGGGTGCAAACATCAAACAAGCTTACTACTAAACATGTGTTAGCATTGTAGGACTTGTCTTTGCTGGGCAATGTCTCACTGGCCAAGACAGTTATAATGTTGCATTTCAGTGGGCAATGTCTCACTGGTCAAGACAGTTATAGTGTTGCATTTCAGTGGGCAATGTCTCACTGGCCAAGACAGTTATAGTGTTGCATTTCAGTGAGCAATGTCTCACTGGTCAAGACAGTTATAGTGTTGCATTTCAGTGGGCAATGTCTCACTGGTCAAGACAGTTATAGTGTTGCATTTCAGTGGGCAATGTCTCACTGGCCAAGACAGTTATAGTGTTGCATTTCAGTGGGCAATGTCTCACTGGCCAAGACAGTTATAGTGTTGCATTTCAGTGAGCAATGTCTCACTGGCCAAGACAGTTATAGTGTTGCATTTCAGTGGACAATGTCTCACTGGCCAAGACAGTTATAGTGTTGCATTTCAGTGGGCAATGTCTCACTGGCCAAGACAGTTATAGTGTTGCATTTCAGTGGACAATGTCTCACTGGCCAAGACAGTTATAGTGTTGTATTTCAGTGGGCAATGTCTCACTGGCCAAGACAGTTATAGTGTTGTATTTCAGTGGGCAATGTCTCACTGGCCAAGACAGTTATAGTGTTGTATTTCAGTGGACAATGTCTCACTGGCCAAGACATTTATAGTGTTGCATTTCAGTGGGCAATGTCTCACTGGCCAAGACAGTTATAGTGTTGTATTTCAGTGGACAATGTCTCACTGGCCAAGACAGTTATAGTGTTGTATTTCAGTGGGCAATGTCTCACTGGCCAAGACAGTTATAGTGTTGTATTTCAGTGGACAATGTCTCACTGGCCAAGACAGTTATAGTGTTGCATTTCAGTGGACAATGTCTCACTGGCCAAGACAGTTATAATGTTGTATTTCAGTGGGCAATGTCTCACTGGCCAAGACAGTTATAGTGTTGCATTTCAGTGGACAATGTCTCACTGGCCAAGACAGTTATAATGTTGCATTTCAGTGTTCATTACATTTTATTTAAAAATTAATTTGTTAAGTTTATTTTACTAGTACTTGAGTTGAGGCCTCTGGAATTCGCTAGGCAACTGTTTGTATTGTAAGAGGCACTTCAAACGATGATAGAGCTATTACAGCCTGTATTTACCAATTCTGCGAAGTAGACAGCGGGTTCTTTAAGTCTGAGGATTTCAGGCCGCAGGGCTAGGGCTGTTGCTAAAACTGTGCAGATTAGGGTTTTATTTGTACAGGATGGCACACTATATATTCTGTGCAATTTTGAAGTGGTCAAGCTGGTTTTATCTTGCAGTTCTGAATGTCGTGGGTTAATCCACAGATGCGTTGTTCAGTTCAGAAGTGCAGTTTTTACAATTAGAGATCCCTAGTGATCAGAGCTGGATCTAAAGAGTTTATGATATGTATGATGCTGTTGGTAGGTGGCTAGCCGAATCTCCTTGCCTATGGTTATAATTTTTTTTTTGAAATGTTTGTTTCATCTTTTTCACTTCTTCCTTTGCTTCACTAGCCATAAACTCTGGTGGAAAGTTCTGGTTGTTCATACATTTCTGAACTTTAGTCTTGTTCAAGAAACAGAGATGCATTCTGACTTTTGAAGACAACACCCCTAATTAGTATATCTTTATAACATGCTTGTTTTATCCAATTTTAACATATGGCTATGAATCCTGGACAATCAGTAGGCAGGCCAAACAATTTCTTGAGGCCTCAGAGAAGAATTCTTAAAATACCTTGGACACCCAAAAAGAGCAACCAAGAGGTTTCGAAAGAGGCGGGAGCCCGAAGACAACTTATCACAAACTTCAGGAGACAGTCATCATTTTTCAGCTATGTTATGAGAAGAGGGAAAATGGAACATGCTGTGACCACTGGAAAGATCTGTGGAAGGAGAGATAGAGGAAGACAACGAGAGAAGATTCTTGACAGTCTTGTTGCATGGCATGGAGGTGTGTCAGCACACGAACTAATACCTGCTGCAGGAGATTGCTGATTGTGGAGAGGCATGATCGCCCACGTCAGTCGGCAAGGCATTTGATTATGATGATGTGGGGCAGACTGAGCTGGCCTCAAAGACATGGCACTGCCATTCTCGCACAAGATGTCTAATGTTGCCTGTTCCAACAGTGGGAAGCAGTTCATAGACAGCACGACCCTTGATATTGATTGGTATCTGTCTGGCTTACAGACCTAGGGACAATAGGGAAAGTTCAGCTGGCTATCTCTGCTCAGTCTACATCAGCGGAAGTCATAATGTCTGATGGAAAATGCAACGCAAGATGATGAATGTTGTTCATGTGGACTTCTAGTAATTTCCCATGGTCTCTGGGTAGTAAGATCGGATGCCTGTGTGTATTCTTGCACATGTAAAAAAAATCCCTTGGCAGTTGGACATCGAAAAGAGTAGCCTAACGGTGCTGCCCAGACAAAAATTTTAGTTAAATCTACCTAAAGTATTTCAGGATCCTCGCTGGCGCAACAGAGTTTGTGCACTGCGCTGAGATTCTTCGCACTCAGGCTTGAGTTAGAAGTAGAACTTATGGACCTGTGTGCCATGATCATGATCCCTCATATAAAAATAAACATTAGATTGGTAGAACTTTTAGATTAATGCAATATGAAGATTTTCAAAATAAAAAAATAAAAGTAAGCACACCATTACATTGTTAGTTCAACTATTTGTAATGTTTGAAAAAATTTTAAAAAAGTGTACTCTGTCAGTTCCATAGGGTTAACCCTCTTTTGCCAGGCAGAACAAACGTCGTCATCATTGTGCTGTTGTACCATTATATATCACAAAGGGTTAACAGTGTGCAACCACTTCAATATCATGGATGGAATCCAATCCAGCACCTTTTGGCCCTTTTTTATTAATGTTCGTTTTAGGGTTTCTTTTCTCAATCCCTTTATTTACCATTTTAGTGGCGATTTGGCGATTCTCTGCCCGTTTATTCCCAGGATGTGTCCAATAGAAGAAACATGACAAAATAAAATCACAAGTATGCAGGAGACCCCTAAGAACATTTTGAAATCAGTGATGTAGATTCTTCAATCATTCAGCTGGGTCCACAGGGTTTGTTTCAAATAATATTCAACTCCCTGTGCAAGAGTCAGGAAACTATATCCCACTCCCTTTCTGCAAGGGCAAAAGCAGTAGCACAAAAGAAGTCAGTTCTATAGCAAATGACTACTTCAGACACAAGTAAAGTAAAGGTCCCTTTTCCACGCCTTTAGGCATATAGGGCTAGACCTAAATTTGTATAGACCCATTGGCACAAGATGGGTGATTTGGTTAGCATCACACTGGCTGCCTTTACTTCTCAGGACTGCACCAGGTACCCACTCAAGGCTGGGTCTATCTGGGAGTCAAGGTCATTTTTGAAAAAGTCTGGCTTCGACAGGAAGCAAACCCATGACCTTCCAATCCGCACGTGAGCGTCTAGCCGCTACGCCACGGCGACTCCCACTTTTTATTTTCAGGTTACAACTGCTTCAGTTCTTACTGTTCGTGCCGTATGGCGTTGGCAGACATGTCTATCCCCCACCTTCTGTCTCATGTACTTTCAGTCATCCTAACATGGATGATTTCCATGCCATATCAGATCTGTCCAGTATCTTCTAAGTCTCCCTCTGCTTCTTGTCCCCTCCAACTTTTCCATTGTCACATTAACTATAGTTTTCTCTTTCTCATGAAATGACCAAAAAATGTAGATTGTCTCCTGATGTGGGCAATTAGTTTTCTTTGTGTATCAATTTCTTTTGAGACATCTTCATTACTCAGAACGTGCTGGTGTAACAAATATCTTGCGAAGTAAAAGTTATGATAATTCACTGGCATAGAATATGAACATCCAGTGACAAACCTTCAAATATATTAAAGTTATCACTGAGAGGATAGACTTCATTGCGCTGGGTGCTATCTCGTACAGTTTGGTCTCTTTCTGCAGAAAAGCTAGTAAGTAAAGTAAAGGACCTTTTTCCACACCTTTAGGCGTATAGGGCTAGACCTATATTTTATAGACCGGCACAAGATGGGTGATGTGATCAGTAGGGCTGTACCGAATAGCGATTTTCACTATTCGGCCAAATACGAATAGCTGGACTAACTATTCGGCCGAATACGAATAGTGAATCCTCATCATCAGGTGCCTTGCCGACTGGCATGGGAGATCATGCCTCTCCATAATCTGCGATCTTCTGCAGCATGTATTATTTCGTGTGCTAACACACCTCCATGCCATGCACCAAGACTGTCAAAAATCTTCTCTCGTTGTCTTCCTCTATCCCTCCTTCCACATATCTTTCCAGTGGCCACCACATGTTTCATTTTCCCTCATCTTATAACATGGCCGAAAAATGATGACTGTCTCCTACTGATGTCTGTGAGTAGTTGTATTCGGGCTCCCGCCTCTATCAAAACCTTTTGGTTGCTTTTTTGGGGGGGGGCTGTCCAATGTATTTTAAGCATTGTACTGTAAAACCACATCTCTGAGGCCTCAAGAAATTGTTTGGCCTGCCCACCGATTGTCCAGGACTTACAGCCATATGTTAAAACTGGGTTATGTAGCAAGCAAGAATTCTTTTTCTAACCTTCAATGACAAAAATATATTGCATAAGATGTTCTTCATTTTTTAAAATGCAGTTTTTGCCTGTCCTATTCTGTTTCTTATTAATGCATCTTCCATCTGATGTTATCCTTGTGCACAGATGCTTACATTTCTGTACTTGTCCCAAAATAAAACCATTGACTTATTACACATTTAGGAATAATTATTTTCTTTGATACCACAATTCTTTCTGTCTTCCCACTATTCACACTGAGGCCCATTCTTCCACTTTCGTGTATAAAATAGATCTAAAAAAAAAAAGACCATCCATAATGTCAAACATACGCTGAAATTTTACTTCACAAAATGTAGTACAGAATAGTAAATATTTAAAAACATTTCATGTTTTGCATCCTTCAGTCAGTCACTGTGGAAACTAATG